AGCTTTTCCTTTTGCCGGCGCTGGAATGGGCGGCAGCTGGGCTTTTCTGCAGTGGTCTGTAGGTGTTGCTGTTCCGCGCAGCACGGGTCTGGGGCTGTCAGTTAAAAAAACCGCCGAGTTAAATGGCAGTGCGCGAATTTAAAGGGCTTCTGGAGAGACTTCGGGCTGGCTGTAAGGCCCCAAGGTCTTGCACCAGAGTCACACAGAGTATCGATAAAGAGAATAAACCACTATGAATGCTGGAAGCTCTGAAGCTGTGTTTTCTGCTGAGGAAGAAATTTATCTGAACAGGAATCCTTGAGTATTATTTATGCTTGGAGTGTTACAGATGTTTTCTGTGACTCCTTTTCACTTTATAATCAAAGCCTGATTTGCTTATTAGTTGCATGCTTGCCAGGGGCTGGAGTTAAGGAGTAAACGTCTTTGCTAAGGATAAATTCTGGTGAAAACTTTGTTAACAGTTCTGTCTGTGCTGATAATGCAAAGCCTTGCCCAAGCACATGTGTCTCTTGTCTTGTGGCTCTCAATGACTTTTTACCAAGGCCTGTAGCGACAGGATGAGGAGCAATTGTTTTAAACCAGAAGAGGCTAGATTTCGGCTGGACATAAGGAAGAAACTTTTTACGGTGGGCGTGGTGAGGCCCTGGAACAGGTTGCTCAGAGAAGTTGTGGGTGCCCCGCTATTGCAAGTGTTCAAGGCCAGGCTGGATGGGGCTTTGAGCAACATGGTCTAGTGGGAGGTGCCTCTGCCCATGGCAGGGAGGGTGGACTAGGTGATCTTTAAAGGTCGCTTCCAACCCAAGCCATTCTATGAAAGAGTTTTCTTTGTGCTAGCTTGCTCAGAAATAATTTTCTTGTTTTCACTTAGTACCTGCTGCTGTGGTCCCGCTTCCCTCTGAATAAGTAAACCACAAATTGCTAAGCTTATTTTGTATCTTTTTTTTTCAGTAGAGAAGATCATGGAAGGAAGAACACCATCTTCAAGTCACGTCAGCGTAAGTCTTCCTACAATTTGCAACAATTTAATTTGAAGCTGTGGGTATCCTAGGGTGTTCTGATGTATTTGCACAACCAAGTTCATTCTTCAGTGGTCCAGCTTTCACTTTGCTGGAGCACACTTTCCTGGGAAACAGTTTATTCTAGTAGCAGTCAATAGTAATGCTTGCGGTTGAACACGTATTAATGCATGATAGGCTTAACATTTGATTTCACATAAACAGTGTGTTCTCAAGGATATGTTAAGGCCTAAGCTAACATCTAAAGTATTAAGAGTGATGCTCAGGTAGGCAGAGCAGCTGCATGACTGCGTAATACTTAGTTATCTGCGGAGATGTGTTCAGAGACTGTTTATGCCAGTGTTAATTTTTTCTAAAAAATCCCCGTTAGTAGTAGTTTCTAGTAATGGAATCACTGATAAAAACAAATTGTAGGCTCAGCAACTGGTTTGATTGGGTAAGGTCTGGACTTTCTAGTGGCTTAGAAATAAGCTGTTCCCAGCACCTTGTTTATGCACTTTCTCTAACCCTTGCTCCTGCAGGTGGAAACCTTCAGAAAAGTACTGCTGGTTTAGATGAGAAGTCTGCTAAGTGCGTATGCACATGTGTGTGTTGGGTTAGTCGCTTTCTGTTAGGGAAAAGCTGAGGCAACTACATATGTTGCACTTACTATAGATACAGACCTCTGTTCGTTACCCCTTGACTTTGTGCTTGTTCCGTGAGTTAATTGTGCGCACTGCAAACCAACATCTTCTTAATGAGTGCAAGCGTTGGTAAGATATTGTATAGTGAGGTGGAAATTTTGCTGATGAACGTATCTTGTGCTCTTTATCCCATTCTGTCTGTCCACCTGTCTCTTTCTGTTTTCTGAGTCTGGCTTACTTGTTCTCAGTGTTATCTGTTATGTTATTACAGAGGTTATCTGAACCTCTGTAACTTTAAATGCATGTTAAAATTCTAGATAAATATATGTTCTTAGGAAGCTCCTAGCAAAAACCACTAGTCGGGCAACAGGTGAAGTTCTGAAGTAAGAAATTTGTACCTGGCCATTAAGGTGCAGACCAGAAAAATACATTCTGACTAATAAAACATATCTATAGACCACTTCTCCAAAAAAACCCCCAAACAAACCCAAACCAAACAAAAAACCCCACCAATGAAACCCAATCGAATTGCAGGTGTTATTGACTAAGAAAATGTCTATTTCAGTCCTTAAGTGTTGATTGAAAGGGAAGGGAGGTACTTGTATTAGAAGCTGTTGCCTTTGTGTCACGTTTACATCCTTTGTAATTTGAGGAATCTGTTACTAAAGGCATATATGTTGTTACAGCATTTGACCAGTAAAAGCAGTTTGAGGTGCTCTATAGAAGTTCAGGTCTGGTTACTAAAAAACTAAATCTTGGTTTCAAAGATGTGTAGAGAAGGAGTAAGAGCACTCACAATTCAAACTGAAGAATTATCACACTATGCTTCAGTTATGGTCTGTCTGAAGGACCACCTACAGAGCTAACGAATGCAGTTTCTGTGTTAATAATTAAGTTGTTAGTGTCACTGTTCTAGGGTCCTTGCTTGTAATTTCATGTTACAAGGTAGGGCATCTGGTGTCTTGCAAATCAAGTTCAAAATACACTTGACAGTAGCCATCGTATGGAGTAGCTTCAGCTTTTTCCTGGCGGGGATAGACTCAGTTGTCTGAAAGATGTAAATGTTGCATTCCATCTCTGATACATTCTGTCTGGTCATATTTGCAGTGTAAGGTTTTGCCTCTTAGGGTACCTGGAGAAACAGTAAAGCTTGCATTTTTATTCTTTCAGTTGATACTAGTTTAACTGGTTTAATTAACTGACAGGAAGTGTCACCCACTTTCCCCTGTCTTGATGAACTGGTAGGAATTTGACCATTTTTGGTTTGAATTTCAGTGAATGAACATTATTTCCTACATATTTTTTCTGAACTGGCAAATTTCTACGAATTAGTAACTGCTTTACCTTTCAATAATTACTTTTGAAACACTGGTTCCATTTTTGTGAAGGCTGGCAATGACAATAACTGATACCATTTTGGGTACATTTTTGATATGATGATTTAGCATCAACACATTACATACTAGCACTATTCTAAGATATAATTGCTCTTCATCCTGACTTTTTTTTTGAGAGAGGGAGCGAATATGATGTGACATTTATCATGACGTTCAGCTATTTTATTTTCTCTTTATCATTCTCGAAGCTGAGATGATTAAACTAGAGTGTAAACAAATCAGAGGGAACTAAGAAAACTGGAAGTGCCAGGAGATTGATTCTCACTTTTTGGGTACACGTTGGAAGTTGCTGTAAAGTTAGTGAGATGGGAAGAGCTTTTTCAGACAGTTCATGTGTTAAAACTAGCTCCTAATGTGGTATGACACATGATTTAGGATCAGGTATCCATGAGGAATGCATTTCAATTAAAGTCACAGGTCAGTGTTTCCCTTGCAACTTTGGTATTTTGCCTGACAGTTGAGGAAACTTTGTACATAGTGGTATGTTCAGCTGATAGCACCCGTGGATGATTTAGTTTTATCATGTGTGTAACATCATCTATTTTCAGTTTCGTATACCAAAGAAGAAAACAAACACCAAGTCAGAGGATGTCCAAGTTCAGTCCCCTTTGGCAAGGCTCCCAGGCTCCCACCATTGGGACTACCCTTTAAAAGAGGTAAAGAGAAGTTTTTCAGAGTGTGAAGTGCGCAGGAAAATGTAATATGGAATTTTGGTTCTGTTTTCGAGGCTGGATTTTTTCGGTGCTGAGTGCTGCCTTGTGACCAATACCTGATCCAGACTGTCTTCCAGAGGGACAAGTGTGTAGGTCTGAAATCTGCCTGCCAGCATACAGTTACAGAAGTGGAAGTCTTAGTGCCGTATTGCCAGCCTAAATCATTAAAAAGCAGAGTTGGTCTTCAGGCATAGTTTGAAATTATCTTGAAAATCATGAATTTCAAGGCAAATTTTTTTTTTTTTAGTTAATTGTCTTCTGATTCTTGAACGTTTAGGTTATATTCAAGTCCCTTACCAAACTTTTTGTTACAGTATGGAAATAATTTTTACGTTGTTTTCAGTTAGTCGTTATTTGCATCCAAGAGCTTAAACTTAAAGAGAATTTATTAAGTACTGTATGACTTTTGGCAGGATTTTAGGTGCTAATACAAAACCAACTGATTTCAGTACTAAGACTAAAACACTGTAAGAGTGCTTACTGCATTTATCATAAATGACTGTCTTGATCATCTCAGTCACATACAGAAGCAAATATTTGCTGCTATAAATCTGTTACAAATTCAGTAAGCATTTTTAAAATGCCAAGTTTTTGGAAACGTTTTGCTCCTCTTGACACCTTCAGCTCAGTATTGAGAGTTTATTGCTGGTTTTAGTGCTTTCAGAATCATGGGGCCGGACAAACAGGCTCCCCCACAGAGGACTTTTAAAAACCTAGTGAGGGAAGTAGAAGGGATTTTTTTTGGTGGTGTTTTTTTTTTTTTTTTTTCTTTTCAGTAGAGATGATAATGTGACCTAGGTCTCTTAGTAGGCCTGGTCATTTGAGCATGCTGTGATACGAAGTCACTGTGTGGTTGTGTTATATACTGTTAATATTTTAAGTGAGCAGAGCATCAGATTACAATCGGGTTATGAAGTCAGAAGTAATGTCTCTTGTGGTTACAAGCAGCAGCCTCTTAGGCAGAGCCAGGCAGCCCTTGCATGGAATTCTTCCTGTCTTTCTCTCTGCCTCTATAAAAAGTGATTAGACTGGGTGAATTGAAAAAGCTTTTTTTTTTTTTCCTTGCTCTTTCCTATATATGGTCTAATTTTCCATTTCTTATTTTTCCTACCTCTGTCTGTATATCTCAGACTTTTCCATGTGATAGAGGGCCTTGTATAGTTTAAACACTGATTAGTCTTTATAGTCTACGTTAAAAGAAAAGATTGGTCAGGAGATATCATAATTAAAATGAATATTACTGTTTTATCCATACGAAGGTCTGTCCTGGTTGTATTTAGTGTTGCCAGAGTTTTGCTCTATGTTGCTTGAGAAATTTTGTGCAGCATTCAGCAATTCAGGCATATAGGTCTCTAACATGCTTGAAGACCAGTGCTATGAGGTGAAGGAGATGATGTTTGAAGGCAGGAGGAGGGCAGAACACCTTCAAGGCACTTTCTTGCTGCTGGCTGTTTTAACAATGAGGGAATTTTCCAGTACAGACTTGGCCCCTATGGTAGAGAAAAGTTTGCTTTGGGATGCACCTTTCGGACTTCACTAAAGCGTGTAAAAGAATGCATGGGCGTTATTTTTTCTGATTGCCCTTTTACTCCACACTTAAACAGTAATGAAGGTAAGTTTGTCTGCTTTTGGCCTAACTGGCATAATTTTCAAACATCTGTTTGGTTTATCTTTTATATTAAAAAAGTGAGGAGAGATTAGGAGGAGGTAATGGCAGAGGGAGATAGGGTTCTGGAATTGCAGAAATAACTGTATGTTTTGGTGGAGCTTCACTTATTTGATTTGAAAATATAATTGCATTCTGGTGAGGTAAGAGAATTTGGAAAAATGAAGTCCTGCTGCTGTGGGTTTTGCCACACAAGTACCAAACTTTCAAATTCCTTTTGCTTCTCAGAATTTTATATTTTTGAGTGGAATATAATTTGGTTAAATGCATGGATTTAAAGAAAGTAGAGGTTATCTTGTGTATTTGTGATTGTGTAAAACAGGCCTAATATTTTAGTCCCTGTTTGGGATGGTCCCCCTTTAAATAGGCAAATAACTGAAATGTCCTGTATTGTTAAACTTCTTTAGGGGGAAAAAAAGTTCCATTCAAGATCAGGTGGTACATGGGTGCTTTAAATCAAGCAATTCATTCTTTGCAAAATAGTTGTATATACTCTTTGTGTCTCTGCTTTATTTGATCCATTGCATTGTTTCGATGTCTGGCTTTGTTCCCCTTTTCTAGTGTAATATCCATTATGACATATTTATGTCTGTTGCAGCCTGCCAATTTTATTTGTTTTATTTCAGTGGAAATTAAGTGCCAACAACAGAGAGCCTTCCACAAAAGGAAAAAGGCAAAAGGACTGCGGCAGACACAGCTCTAATGATGAAGAATCAATTGGGTAAGAAGTCATCTCTAAATTAGCTCTTCTCTGTATATTTAGAGTGTCATAATCTGTCTTGAAGATGGGTAACTATCTACATAGGTGTCTAATTGTGTCATGCAGAGATGGTTTTCAAGCTGTTAGGTTGCACACCTTCAGAAAATCATGTTTTGGTGACTTAATGGCAGCTGTAATTTTTTTCTTTGTTTTAGCACAAGGCAAGACTGTGACATCAGAATGGGAGTGTAAAGCTTACTAGAGGAAGTAGGGGTTGATGACCTGCTTGGAATCCTGAAAGGTGTTCATTGCTCTTTAAGTGTAAATTATGATTCTAGCCCTAGATATTTTAGATACTTAAGAAGTATGCCAGATTATCTTTTGCTTGCCCCTTTTTGCTCTGTAGTCCACAGTCATAAACCTGATTTTATCACCTCTTAAAAACAACAGCCTTCTGCCCCCCACCCTCCCCAAGCAATATGATGGTAGTAGGGGAAGACAGTAAAAAACTAGAGGTTTTTCACCTCTGTTACAGTCAAGACACCTAAGTGAGTAAATAAGACTGCTGATGTACCACTTTTTAACAGTTCGTTGCCAAGAACAAAGATCTTGGTTTCTTTGAGCTTATGGCAAATTATTTGAAATCATCTTCTATGAAGTTGTCAGCTAGATAGTTGTTTATCCAAGAAAATTTTGAAGCAGTGAGTGCTATAGTTGACAAATGGAAATGAAAATGTAGGATTAGATTTGTTAGCAGCAGCTAGGAACCATAATGTCTTCATGATGAAATTAATTATATTTATCTTAATGAAGCAATTATTACTCCACAAATCATTCAAATCTAAACAAATAAGAGCCTGGATTCTCTGCCCCATTTTCTGACTGAAACTTAGCTTGACCATACATGATTTTTTTGTCAGGAGAGACTGTTTAAAAACAAAGTGTGCAGATAGTGAAAATGCTTAATGACAGCAGGTGATTTTGACACTGCTGAATTCTGTGGTTTTGTGACCTATGAATAGTCATCCTTTAGCCTGATCTTTATATTCAGAATGCTGCAAACTGTTGCAGGGAAGAGCTGAACTTTGAAAAGATTCTGAATTTATTTTTCGTACCTCCTCAGAGGCATAACTGTCAGTTTACATGTAGTTACCTCACAATGCTGCTCTCAGTAACTTTATTTGAGGGAGTGGCTCACAGGGTCAGCCTAGCAGAAGTTAAAAGCTGTGTTAATTGCAGAGTTGTAATTATTCTGTGAAATGATTGATACCTGATATAAATTTCTAAAGGTCTTTCAGTAAACTTTGAACTGACCTTTCAATGTTGAGGAGCTTTTAAACAAAAAGCTACCTTTGGATCTGTTATTTCTGTTAATTGCTGGTTAAATATGTTAATTTCGGTATGTGAGAGGCTTTGAAGTAGCATTTGTAGGTGTTCCATCATTTTTACCAAGATTCTTACCAGCACATTAGTAAGAAATGATTTAGACTGTAAAAAGACAGTAAATATTCAGATATTAAACCTGTGCATTTTTCACCTCCTTAAAAAAAGTTGTGTGTCTAGAGACTAGCTGGAGATTCTCTGTAAGATAAACTTAATCTACTGTCCCCAATAAAGCTTGTTCCAAGTATTCCATCTGGGTACACAGTGTTTCTCAGTAAGTCGAAATCTACACACTGATCTGATGGCGTGGTAAGTAGAAAGAGCACGCAGGTTCTGAAGGTGGTGTGTGTTGAGCAAAAGTCTCAGCTGACAAAACTCAGAGGAAGGAGTGGAAGTGACATGCTGAGAACCTCTGCTTCCTCTTCCCAATGAGGAATTTTTCATTTGCATTGAAAAGCAGGAAATTAGTCTTAATGATAAACTCCTGTTAGCTCCTGATGTTTTTAAAAAAGGTGGTTTTTTTAATTGATAGGAACTATGCTCAAGTATTAGGGAGGCGTGTTTCATCTAAAGTGTTGCTTGAGCATTGTTACTGCTACTTAATTTTTAGTCAGAAAGGACAAAGTGGGTGTATTAGTACAAACCCAGCTTCACTGCTGCTGCATGGGTGATTGTGATCCCCGGCAGGAATCTCGGGGAAGGTTAGTTCCCTAGGCCTTCCCATATGCTGGAGGTCTCATACGTGTTCCTAGGATCGTATAACAAAACAGATCAGGACTGTCATGAATTATGAGTAGTTCACTTTATTAGTGTCATTGCATAGTTAGGTGTGCTATTTATGTAATTGGTCGATTAATGTTTTGTATCCTACTTAAGAAACTTTTTTTGTTGTTGAGGAAGCAGATAGCGCTATTTCAAGGGTAGCTATCACCACCTGAAAGTAGAACTTGGAGGCATCCACTTATTTCAGCTTTATTACTCCTGCATTCTCACAAGAGGGAAACAGAGGGAAATAAAAATGAAACAAAAAAAGAAACAAAGTAGAACACTTCTGAAATTCAAGCTTCTCATGCTGGTCTGTCAAGTTTACTGTAGGGGGAGGGTGGGAGGAGTACTTGAGATGTGTGTGATTCCTTCAGCTCAATATTTTAAACATTAATTGAAATACATGTCATGCCTGAATCAAGTACTGACCATGGCAGTCAGGTTTTTGTGGCAATCACTTACCTTGTGGTTTCCATCGCCCTGACAAGTGCATTTTGGCGGTAATAATTGCCTGGTTCAGCAAAGCAAGGAGGTTAGTAAGGATGTTCATGTTTGCTGTTAAAACATTGACTTCTAATCAGTTGATGAAAGGTCAGGGCCTTGAAGTAGGAGGAGGAGAGACAGAAGCTTTCTTCTCTACAGGGTGTAGTCAGTGAATGTGGCAGTCAGAGTTTCCAGTTAATGATAGTGCAGCACGTTATTCCTTTGGACTCTGAAAGGCCAAGGACCTCCTGAGCTGTGCACATGCTGCAGAAGCTCAGATAGCTGAATACACATCGAGTCTATCAGTGGCTTTATTCTGTAAACCCAGCACAGATGTTCAGCTTTTATGGGACCTGACGGGGTGACCCTTGCATGGTGTGTGGCATCCCACTGTCAAAATATTTATTTCCCCAAACTTGGGTTTACTAGTAGAAGAATGTAGGCATGAAGATGTTGTTGTGGACAATTAATAATAATTTATTCCAAAAGGAGTCACTAAGCTCCAAGTCTCATGATCTTGATCACTTTCTAATACAAATTTAAATTGGAGCCAGTGATTACAACACTGGTGTGTACACAAATATGATCATTGAGAAAGGAACTGGATCTAGCAGCTCTGAGTGAAATAGAGGTCAAACATTTTCCCAGAGGGATACAAACAATTAATAGCTTTTGGTCCTGTACTTTAAGGTAGGATAATGGGGTTTTGCCTATGAAAAGTGGTATGAGACTTGCCAGGAGCAGCTAACAGCATTTTTCATAATACATATTTTTTTCTGTTGGTTCCATGCTTACATGTGTAAGTATGTTTTAATTACTTTTGCTTATGTATTTTTTCTGTTTTGTGGAGGTAGATAAGAGGGAGTATGGTAGGTGCTTGCTTTAGAAACAAAAATAATCACCTTTTGGTTTTCCTTCACCAAGATGCCTTCAGTCATACTGTTGTGTGGGTTACTTGCTGGCTCTGCCGCTGGGACTTGCTTTTAATGTAAACTTTGCTTGCTTTTTTCCTGCCTGATGCTAATTTTTATCTTCGAAATGTCTTTTGCATGACTTGCTCACTTTATTCTGTGGACAATTGAACAGGTAATTTAGGGATCTGTGTCCCAGCCATTGTTTACAGATGTGCTGGCTTATGTGTAGATGTTTTTCCTGAATCTATTTTGTGCACAGTCTTAATGATATGATTTTTCAAGAAATGCTGCCAGATGCTGTTCCTCCTTTAGAAAGGGAAGCCATTAAAAAGCTCTGATGATCAGGTCATAACCAGTTGTCCTATTAAGGTCTTCAGGTGCCATGCAAGAAGTGATGCCTTAGCTTGGCACTGACAGCTTTAAGAACAGCCGAATGTGTACTGTTTTATCCCTTGTTTGTTGAAGGTTCCTCTTCTTTACACAGATTTCCAGTGCAAAGCTAGTTGCACAGCGGTATGTCTGCTTTAAACTGTAGGAACATTTTTGCAAAGATACTTGCTTAAAATGTATAAACCCCATTTAAATCAAGGGAGTGGGAGACATTACAAATTCTGTAGTTAGTAACAATCAGTAAACCAAATTATGGGAGGGGCCTGGAGCCTGTCAAGATCTAGCCTGATCTGAATGTGAGCAAAGGATGTCAGACAGAGTTTCCAAGGTGGCCAACAAACCATAGGTAATGAAATCCAGTTTCACTGGAAGTTCTGCTTCTGACTCCTTTACCTGCTGTGGTGGGCTTTCTCTGTCATGATGGTATAGTTAAAGACCTTAAAGGTTGGAATCTTTTCTGTTATCTTTACACATCCTGATCATAAAATTAAAATAAAGACTCTGTGACTGTGTGTGTTCCCACTGGACTAATTACCGTGCAAGTTCAGGCTAAATTTAGTAAAGTTTAATTATGGTTTCTTGTGTTTGACAAATAGAAAGAAAAAAAAATCTGGTGTTTCTACACGGTGGAACAATGAAAACTGAAAGAATTTAGATCTGGGAAATAGACTGTTAGGCTTGGCATGATTCTAGTCAGGAGAACTGAAGTGTTCCGTAGAGAATAATGGATTTATGTTGTCTTGTGGTGCTCTGTAGTAATGATTTTAAATTTATTTTTTAAGGAGAAACAATTTCTGATTCATATCTAAATATTGCTAGAGCCTACATTTGCAACTGTTTTGTATTTGGAAAAAGAATGCCATTTAGATTTGTAATTTCAAGTCCTGTTAGAGGAAGAGGGGAAGTATCTGGCTTCGTCTTTCATTACTTCATCTCTTCTGGCACCCCAAAATATGAAATGTCTTTCCACTACAGTACTTTAGTAACTGGACCTCTAAAGTAGTTTGGGTCTTCCTTAGCTTTAAGGAGGAAATTAAAACACAAGAGTAAATGTCTAGTTTCATAGGATAATTTTGCAGGAGTGACTTGATGACATCTACCTTGAAATTGCCTTTAACTGCATTAGTAGTTGTAAGTTTTCTCAACAGTGTGGTAGGTTCTGGTGTAGCTGAATTTTGAATTTTTATCACGTTTCTTAAATGTATATATTCTGTATTTCCTTAGATACATTAGAAATAAGGAATATATGAGTAGTACCTTACAGTTGGACAAACAAAAGACATGTATTAGTCTGGTCACTGTAAGCTCTTCTGATGTGTTGAACTATGGTTAATGTATCAACTCTGAACATTTGAGAAGCCCAGAAAAAAGGTAGAACTTCTGACTAAGCAGGGACTCCTATAGAAAGTAAGTCTCTTGCTTCCTATACTAAGTCAAGAACACTTTGCAGGCTTGGTATATGCTCACTAGGCTGTTACAGTTGGTCTCCACTATGCAAGATGTTATTAAACTGTCCCTCGTGACCTATGTTTACTTTCTAAGCTTTTCAGTACTTAAAGCATGTCTTTTAAATGAAACCCCAATCTCTGGATTCTTGGCGTGTAGAACAAACATTTTTTAGGTCTACAGTATTCAAAGCACATGCTCAGACTATGTAATAGGTTCCTAAAAACAACAGTTCTTTGCATTAGTAGTCATAGAGTATATACAGGTCTAGGTAAAAGAACAAATCTATATCTGTCTCTTCCCAGCTCTGCCCAAAACATTCTGGAGCACTTCTGTGGTTTAGGTCAGTCTTCTGATGAGGCCGTCTTTGTACATGAGACTTCTCATTGCCTGCACAGAGTCAGTCTCTCACTTCAGAAACCTGGATTGTTTCTCCAGAAGGTAATTAGGACCCGTCCCTTACGTAGCACTCTTTCGCACTCTGCGCAGACTCTTGCCGTCAGCGCGCTTTTTCTTTGGGAAAACTTCTAAGAGAAACCAAGAGAGTGGAGGAGACTGCCTTCACTTGAGTTTAAGTTACTTAGTTTTGAATGGGAATCATTTAGGTTTATTGTCGATTATCTAGATAGTGGTCTCCAAGGTGTGGTATGTGCAAGACAATCCGTTGGGGTGCAGGAAGGAAATATTTTTTTTGTACAATTAATAACAGAAATAAACATTTATTTCATCTTTATCCCATCCTTTTTAATATTTCTGTGTGTGTTTTATAATGTACATAATATTAGTACATTAGTACATCTGTATAAATTATAATTAAAGAAACAAGTTGAAGGTAAATGCTCAAAATACTTTTACTGATGGGGTGCGTGATCAAAAAACATTTGGAAACTACTGGTCTAGGAAATGCATAGCAGAGCTCTAAGAGAAAGCAGCTCATTGCATGCACATTATGACATTCAGTGGTGCAGAGGTCTGGTAAGATTGACCAGTGTTCATGGCTTATATGTAGGCTCTCCAAGGTGTGCATGGGAACCTTACTGTCTTTTCAAGTTCAGTGAGGGGTCATGTGACTTGTTAACATGGTAAATAACCAGGGAAAAGAAATCTCAACATGCAGCAACTACTGAAAGACCAAAATGTGAGGATTGTGTGAAACATCTCCAAGTTCAACATGTTTCACTAGCATGGCAGTTCCAAATCTTTTTTTTAGGTTCAAGCATATCTGTTCTTCAGCAGTTTTCATGCTGTACCTGTATTTGTTTACCACTAGGTACCATATAACCATGCTGTTGAGCTGAATGCAGCTTGTCAGTGGGAGAACTATGATTTCCTAAAAGATGCTTGCACGGTTGTCAGTCCATTGAGGAACAGCAGCCATTTGCTTAAGAAATGTCACTGTAGCATGCATTTTACAGCTGTGTGAGTAGTTAAAGGTTTTCTGTAGCTATAAAAGAAGGAATCTTTCCCTGTAATGTGAACAATTTAGTTTGTTATGCAAGACATACAACAGAAAAAATCTTAAAAGCAACAAATAAGTCTGAACTTCAGTGTACTCTTAGGACTGGTTCTGGGAAAACAAGTCCAACCTGTTTAAAAATACAGTCAATCCCGACAAATCGTCTGTGATATATAATGCTTATTGGCTTATAATGAAACTGTCCAAATTAGTGGCCGTGCTGCAGAATTAATTCTTTATGTGAAGACTGCAGTATGAATCTAGCAGAATCAGCAAAGTACAGATACTTGTTTAAACAACTTCAATAGGGAGTTTTTACTAACTTAGTGATTCAGAATTCTATGTCATTTCTTTAGTGATGAGTAGAAATCAGTTGGAGTTTCAAAACTGAGAGATTGTACTAGCTTCTTAGGTTTTTTTTTGGTGTTTTTTTTTTTCCAGCAAGATTGTAATCTAATTTGTGCTACGGGAACCAATAATATTCATGGTTCTAAAATAAAATGCCACAATATGAGTGCTTGTTTTCATATCTTACAAATGCTCAAGTGTATGCTTTTGGAATAGTTTGTAAGGCCATAGTGACTACTTCCAACATTTTGCAATAAGATGATGCATGAAAATTTCCATGCTTCTGCATTGAAAGTTTACCTCTTCTGAGTCACATATGGGTACGTTAGTTATTGATGCAACAAGAAGAAACCTTGAAATGCTGTCCTGATCAAGAGATGCCTTTGTGATTCCTCTTCAAAGAAAACTGCTTTGTAAGTTGTCAGGTAACTGAACTTAATTCTACTGAAGATACAAGGTATGATACAGAGACAATAAACTCATAGAAAAGCTTTGTTGAATTCATGTGATTTAAGTTCTCAGCACCCTATTATTAATTTATTATTATATGTATGGCAGGCAACCCAAAGTTATCTTGACGAATGTCTTCAGGACGAAAATAGGAAGAAAATACACACAGGCGCTACTTAGAACTGGTGCTATTTTTTCTGATGCTGGCAAGTTGCAGTCAGATCAACCACCCTCATCATCTGCTGCCAGCCTAAAGATATGGCAAATTTTAAACCCTACTCTTGAAAGCCTTTTTCTGTCTAAAAGGTATGTTGTCTTCACCTCATGTCACTAAAAATAATTTTCCTTGCAGTTTTTTTGTGAGAAAGTATTTTTTGTTGTACCACAGCTGTCTTGTTCATGAACTATATTCTCATGTCATCTGACTTGACTGAATTCCCTTGTACCTGGTTCCTTTTGATAATCATTGCGAGAGGTGGTGCCAGGCACACTGTAGTGGGTTTTCTGATCAGATGGCTTCTAGATGGTCCTGTACTGACAAGACAAATTAATTCTGATTCAGCCATTGGACTCTGAGAATGTTTGGGAGTTTTATTCTTGTGAAGAGTACACTTGTATTTAACTGCTCTCTTTTCTCAGCGTGGCTATCAAGGTGTATTTTCAATGTTACAGTTTCAGACTACTCATGGAAATATGAACTGGCATAAAGGGTCAGAAGAAAAGTCCATCAAGTCCAGTATCTTCCTCTCCTCCCAAGCAGTGGTCAATTGCACGTATGGGAAAAGTATGGCTAGAGTGAATCATAGAGTCATTTAGGTTGGAAAGGACCTTTAAGATTGAGTCCAGCCATTAACATCACACTACCAAATCCACCACTAAACCATGTCCCTAGGCGCCATGTCTACATGTGTCTTAAATACCTCCAGGGAGAATGCTGCTTTCACTGAGTTTTCTCTCTGAGCTGCTGCTGATAAACTGTTTAGGGGCTTCCTTTGTTGGAGGTTACATCCAGACTACAGTCAGTGTTCCTTTGTATTAGACTTTATCTATCAATTGTATCCTCATTGCTTATCACCTGTGTGCCTCTGCAACATCTTGACCGTAAGGTAGTCTCCTGATTAAAAGCAAATTTACATCTCTGTGCAAGAGGAGGTATGAGTGCTCCCCGGACATTGTGCAGTCTGTGCTGGAGTGTGCTTTGTGGATGGATACAGGCAACAGGAGAATTATGCAGTTGATACCCAAAAGACAGTGTTGTTCATAACAGATTCAAAAAAGACCATGACATTACATCCTAACCCAAAATAAATTGCAATGGAAGTGGTAGAATTTAAATCCCAGTTTGAAAAATGAAGCGGGTAAATCAAGGGCTATACAACAAGCTGGCCACAGTGGCTTTACATGAAATAAGTTGTGCTGCTCTTACACATCTGTGCTCAAGGGGACAGTAGCATCTTGATATTTCTGGTTAGCTTATTTTTGATGCTTGTCTCTTCTAATACTTGCAGATGTTTTCTGAGCCTTGCTGTTGCTTTTCTGTAGAATGCCACCTGGAAGTTGAGGAGGGAAACAAAATCTAATGCTACCTTTTTGTGTGTGTACTACTTTTCTACCTGTTAACCAAGTGCTTGAGAAAATTGTTTGTTTTACTGGAGGCTTCTTGTTCACAGGAAAATCAAGATGGTTTGCTCCATAGTGCTGAGAAAAGTGTACAGATATTGCATGAAAGCTATTTAGAGATAAACATTTACTAGTTTTTAAACAATACTTAGATGATGTGTTAGAGGCAAGGCAGTGTGAATTGTATCTAGCTAAGGTGAAATTGTATGGCTAGCATTTCTTACCCTGGTCTCTTGTTGGTTTTTTGTGTTTATTTGCTTACCTTGGATTTTAAGTTCCTTAGTGGGATTTCCTTTTATCTCTAAAGGGACTGAAAGTAATGATGATTATCAAGCCTCTAAGGTACATGAATTTAACAAGAAGTTTTTTTCTCTAGATTTCAGTGCAGTATTTATGATACACTATTATATATATGGCAGGCAACCCAAAGTTATCTTGACGAATGTCCTGGGGACGAAAATTGGAAGAAAATACATAGACAGCCACATAATAATTGATGCAAATGTGTCTGATGCTGATAAATTACAATCGAGTCGACTACCCTCATCATCTGTTGCCAGCCTACAGACATGTCAAATGTTAAGTTCTCCTTATGAAAGTTCTTTACTGTCTGAAAGGTATGTTACTTACTGCTGATTTTGCCAGTCTTCCAGAAATGAAGTAACTTCACAATGGAAAATAATTTCCCTGAAACAATTTTTGTTATACTCTTGTCTTGAAGCAGGAGATCGGTTTCCTGAGTGCAGACTAACATGCTGTTCCAGTGAGCCATTTTAACATTGCATTTATTCTGATTTGCTGTACATGATGTTAATAGGCTATTTTTCTTTCATAGAGGGAATTTTAATTTGCAATATATCAATGTTTTGATTTGTGAAGATGGGCAAGTAATTCAAACACATTTAAGTTGGTTTTGTGTCCAGAACAAAAATCTTGCTTTCCTGTTGCTGTTAATGTGTTCCAGAATGATTTCAAGTAACCTCTTTTGCAAAATTTCTGCAAATTCCTCTCTGTGACAGTTCATTTCTTTTTACATTAATCCACCAGTCGTCTCAATCCTAACAGAGTGCTGTTGTTTAAGGGCTGTGTGTGTGTCCTCTCATTGCTTAACATCTACTTTTTCTCTTTTCTTCCTACATTTAGGTTGACTGAGCATCACAGTATATATAAAACTAGCAGGAGTCAGATATTAGAATTGCATAAAGTTGACTTTGGTCTAAGATGGCAGTTGAATTCAGAGTAAGCCATTTCCTCTTGTCTTTTATGGCCGCCTCTTTGCTCAACAGCAAAGTATCCACAGGAACAAGTAGCAAGAAATATGTGAGAAGAAAATAGAGAAAGGAAGAGAAGAATGATTTGTGAGGGCAGGAATTACCAACAGTTCCCAGGTTAAAGAAATCTTAAAAGAATTGGGGAAAATTAAGTCATATTCCTCATTCTGATACAAGAACATCTGAGAGAAGTGAAATTAGTAAAAATTATTTTGTCTTTTTCTGTTGGGATCACTGCTGCTGCTTAAATTGATCTGACAAAGCTGCAGTTTAAGTGAGAGTTTTATAACAGTTTATTAGACTGTCTCATTTTAAAAGTATTACATTTGTTCCTAATAAATAGTCTTCCATAACTTTAGGCTGGCTGAAATGTGGGGAGTTTGTTTGGATTCTTGGGATTTTTTTGTGTTTTACTACAAAATCTTTAAGATCTATAATTTTCATATCCGATTTTTCCACTTGGTATTGTTTTGGATGATAGGAGGTAGTGGGCTCATAGAGAGGAAAACATGAAGTTTTGTATGTAATTCTACATCTGAGGAAACATCTTGCATATTATTTCAAGCCCATATCTGAAGGGCGGCTGTTGAGTTTTATTTTAAGCACAAGACCAGTTTGAACTAGTCAGTTTTTTTAGTAGTTGGTATACTCAGTTTGCTTTAGATTTGGAGTAGTTCATTGCTCGAAGGGTTAATATTCCATTCCTGTGATATGCTTTTCTAATATATTAAGTAAAAGGCTTTTTATTAGCAGGAAAAAACATTAGAAGGATTTTTCCATCCCTCCCCAGTGACCAGCATGTTAGTGCAAGTCATAATAAATATCACATGGGAAATGGAGAATTTAGGAATTATTTCAACAAAGATACGGTTTGATCCTGATCACCTCTCTGTAACTAAGGTTTGTGCATAAGATACACTTGGCACTGATTCTTTTGGGGTCACTTCTTTCAGAGGAAAGTAGAAGCCCCCCCCCCAAAAAATTATAGTGGTTATGCATATATAGGCACATGGCCATATCAAGATTCTTTTGTATCATCAGAGTAGCTAGAATGCATGTTCTGTTTTACTGAAAATTATGCTAGTTTTGTACCATGGAAATTTTAGATGAAGTCAAAGAATTGTGTGTGATCAGAACAGGATGGTAATAATTTAACCTTGCTCTATCAGCTAGAACTTGCTGTGAGTTTCCTTTCTTGCTTTTGGTATTACAGAATTGTTGGATTTCGTGTTGCTTGTTCACTGCAACCCAGTGTGAAATGCATTTGCTTAAGTCACTACTGACCATGACACTGATGACTAATGAATTTGAAGTGGGGTTTAAATGTGAAGAAACTTAGGGTTTTAAAGTGTGTTTCCTAGTTGTTTCTCATGGCTGTTGAGAACACTTCAGTATATACTGCAATAGCTTCTTAGGTTATGCATGTATCTGTTGAGGTGCATTTTAAACTGAGCTATTAGCACAGATAGGAAGTGAAAATAAAACGTGCAGAATTTGTGTATAGAGTGAATATATTTAGGGGAGGCTATCAGCTGAAACATTCCTATTGAAATGTTTCCTATTGTTAAAAGGCCGAATTGTGATGTTGATGTAAAACAAATGCTAAAAAACACTTAAAGGTTTTGTATGGTCTTTTAAGGCAGTTAAATCTGCGTCGCTGTTCTGCATACAAATATTTGAGAGAGAGCTGTGGGTTCCAAAATAAATTTTTTTGTAGTGAGGTTATTCCAGAACTAGAGCCACCTGATCTATGGAATACTCTATCTTGTTCAGTATACGGAATGAATAATAGCACTTACCAAACACTTTCTCTGTGTATGGTCCAGTTCATGATTTTTTGTGAACTGAAAGATAATCAGTAATATCTTCGTGATGCTTACGTAGTAAGATGTAGTATCAGAGCACTCTGGAAATCTTTGTTTGCCTTTATAGTATTCCCAAAGAGCAACGATACTCCAGTCTACAGATATGGCACTGAAGAATAGGCATCTGTTCAGAAAGCGTCCAACAGTTTCGGCTATCTAGTTAGAGATGTCAAGAATGTTCTTTCCATGGTTGGTGATATTCTTTATGGGTACAGGCTCAACTGTCAGTGATTTCAGTCATTATGATAATCACTTAGCTCTTTGCAAATTGGAAACTGCAACATTCTGAGTTAGGAACATTATAAAACAATGAACACAAAATCTCTTTGGATTAAGTGAGGTGACAAAAGGAGGAATGGAACAGATTTTTCCAGAGCAGCATTAAATTGCGCGATCTATGAAATCTTCTTTATTTTCTTTATTTTCCAACTCTCACAGAAAATGAAGCAGAGATCATGAAGGTTAGTTTCTTTTATCTTATAACCCTTATAAATTTTCAGAAGAGAAGTCTTGTGTACTGAGTGTAAGTTCCTGTGAGAAAATATCATATGAACATAAAACTGTTATCCTGATGCATACACTAGAAACCAAAATACAGTTATGTAGACTTTAGTCAGCTGTGACTAGCCTCCAGAGAAGTTGAGAGTATGTTTACAAGATCAGACCTCAAATGTGAGGATGTCATGCTGTTCAGTCTATCAGTACCTCCTGAATACATTCTCCTATTTTATAAAAAAGCTAATAAAATAAAATAAAAAAACCAACCAAATGATTACTTTCTTGCATGTCCTCCTTTTTAGAAGGAAACTACAAACTCATGTGAACACCAGTAGGTTGCCTAGTTTCTCATGCTGTAATTGTTTTCAGTTTCTTTCCTATTTCGTGCTCGTTCACATGTCTTGTTCTCCCCACCTCCTTCAAAGTTACTGCTTCAGGCCCTTTTGAGCAGGAGTTACTATTTCAAATCTTTTCTCATTGCAGGAATTTATTCAGTGTATTCTATTAGCAATGCTATATTTAAATTAAAAATATACTACATTGCCTCATTCCCACTACTTTCATGACAAAGGCAAAGATACAATCAGCTGATGATTGTTCTCTTTTTTTTGTTGTTACGTGTTCTTGTTGCAGTCATGCTTTGCAGCAAAAACTGTTTCGGTGTCTGGTGGAAGGCATGTAAGATTTTCATTCTTTGCACCTTTTAGAAGCATCTGCTTTGTTAATAATGTCAAAGTATCTGCGTATTTCCATAACGGGAACGAATTAGTTTGAGTTTCATTTGCCAAGCCCCACATGTTTACGAGAGAGACAGAAGTCTGTGGTCTAACCAGCTCTTGTTTCTGTTGCGATTTTTATTTAATATTATTTCAAAATTTAAGATAAGTCATAGTTAATGTTCTTCACAGGTCTGAGCATTACCTGAGAAAGGCAGATGATGATCTGTGTAAATTGACCAAGGCTTCTAATGAACCAGAAAAAAATAATGCCTTCACTTTTAGAAGACGGGAGCTGCAGAAGAAAGGTTTGTAGTGAGCAATAATCTGGCATTTAGATATGAATTTTGGAGACTGTTGGGAAATTTTTTAGTCTAGTATTATGAGGAGAGCACAGAAATAAAAAAGGCACTGCATGCAGTATATGTGTCTCCTCAAAATGCATTTTTTTACAGATACAGTAAAATATATCAAATATCTGTTTTTAAATAGGAATAAAGCTATGGTGAGTCAGATCTGTGGAAAAAAAAAAGAAATTGAGAGAAGCCTCAATGCACCATAATAATCCTGATTTTATAGAACGTCTTTTATACTGAAGAATGTAATACATTAAGAGTGCTCAAATGGTTTGTGAACCCTGCGAAGTGTTTATACTATATGACGATATTTGTATTTACTGCTGAAAAATGATGAGCTCTATGCTGAGTCTCCAGGGAGAACGTACTATCTTTTTAATACTGGTTAGTAATATTTGCAGATTAGAACAGGAACTTTAGAATATTGCATCCAGCAGAAGATAGAAGAAAGACTGTGGAGTATGGAATGCTAATTCTTACTGGGAAGGGAACTATGATTATACCCTTACCTTAACTAATAGTGCAATAATAATATTTCCTTAATTATTTTAGGGAATATATTCTGGCTGCCACACAATTAAAAGGGAAGAATTTTAACACAATTAAAAAAGGAAAGATATGTGGAAGGTACCTGCTGCCATGCATTTTATTGAAGACAGAACAGATATGAAGAAATACAAAGGTTTTTAAGTCATTTTTTTTTCTGACACAGAAAACAAGAACTATGATGAACTGCAAAAGAGGAGGAGAAACATGAACAGCACCACTCTTAGTCAGAAGGAATTGGGCTCGTTTGATTATGAGAAAAGGAAAAGAAGATCTAGTGGCTCTATTCCTGATGATTGTAGTGCACACATTCCAGAAAAATCACTACTTCTGTCTGTAAGTTGCACTTAATTTTGCTGTATGTGTTTGTGTACGCACGTGCACACGCATTTCAGTAGCAGCAGTAGCAATGTCCAAAATAAGAGTTATACTAAGAAGTAGGGTATCTAGGGATACCTGTTGAGGGAGATTAGTTCAGTGGTGCATCAAGGGAAACAAGTATATGTACTTCTGTCCACAACATCAGAATATGCTGGATGTAGCAGAAGAGTTGTGAGACATGCATGACAGTGTCTCCTTCAGACAGGATCATGGAGTAAAACAATTGGAAATAAGGCATCTGACTACTCAAGTGAAACTTCTTTCACAGATGGTGTAGAACTAATTAGGGACTTTGATACAAAAATTACAAAATATGCCTGGGGTTGTTGAAATCTTACGTATGTCATCTGTCTCTCTCCTCCTCTATCGTACTCTTCCCTAAAGTTTTATTCTTGTCTCTCATTAAGATTTGGGGGGGAGGGGAAGACTTAGGGAATTAGTCAGTCAAGTACAAACTGTGATTTACATTCAAGCATTTGAATACGGTAAAGGCATCTTTGTAACCTTCTGGTTAAAACCCCACAGAAGTAGGTAGTTGCTGAGTCCTTTTCACCCACTTGACCAAGCCACACATTTGCAAAGTAATGAACATCACTGGTGCTTGATGTTTCACTGTTACACAGTGAGGGAGCTGCTAAAAAATCAGAAGTAGTTTCTTGTTCAGTGTGAATGGAGGTCATAGTAGACTTTTAAAAGGTTGTCCATCATGTCTTTATGTGATAACCTTTGAAATACGAGGAGGGAGAAATTACCCTAACTTGAACTCTAAATGCAGCTGCATTAAGCTATGATTATTTTGTCTATCACGTAGCTAAGTCTCAGTGATCACTGATCTGAACAATCATAGAAATGTTAAGAAATAAATGTATGTCCTGTCTCCGATTCCTGTTTTCTAGAAAGAGCAAAGATTGAGTTCAACTCAGTCTCCTGGCCGCGGAACACCCTGTAAGGATGGACAAGGTTGCAGATGTAATACAACTCTGGTGCCAGAGTGTATTCCCCAGCCATTAGAGACAGACTATAAAGACACTTCCACCCACAACCACTTAAGACCTGCTCACAGCTGCACAGAGAAAATTGGCTCAGAGTCTCCTCCCAGAAATTTTGCAGAGAAACAGCTTTCTGCCACCACTGAGAACGTGTTTTCACCACAAGTTAGTACCATCAGGAAACTAAAGATGGACACATCGCAGTACCTGAGCAAGCTGCGGAACAGAATCTACAGGGGTAATCGGCAACTTGTTTCAGTTGACCCAAGTATGTACTGTGTCTGTGCTGCTGACAATTGCCGTTGGTATGCTTAGGTACTAGGAGAACTCAGGCATGACTGGCTAGTTGAAGCATATGGACCAAAAGATTGAAGACATAGATGATGTTGTTTGTAATGTGTTGTGCAGGTGAGAGGTGAGAGAACAGGGCCTAGTGCCAGTGTCCTCTACTGGAGTGTAGAGAGCCTTGTACTTGAGAAGCAGAATAGACAGCAGAATTTTCAAATTCCAGTCCTTATTTTGCAGCTGATTTTGTGGCTGTGGAAAATCAAGCTTGTACTTTTAAATGACGCTTAAACTGAGGAAAAAACATTCTCTCTTGTTTGAAGCAGCTGTGTTGTAGCCTGTTTTTTTTAATAGTCAAATAATTTTGAGGATCTTGGTTAAAAAGTGTTAATAAAGATACAAAGCAGTACTTGTTGTCTACATTTTCATGCATGCAGACCTTGACTGGTTTGGGCAATGTACTTTGGTATTACATACTGCAAGAGAGAATTCTTTGCTCATCTGAAATCCACGATGAATGAAATATTCTCAAGGCTGCATCTTGTAGTATATGTATACTTCTTTTTTCCTCTTCAGTTGTCCTTTCAAGTGACAGTAAAGAAGCAGACCAACAGTCTGACTTCTGTTTCTCGGCAAAGCAGTTGGAAGACAAGATGGAAAGTCACACAGAGCAGGTAGTCCAGTTTTTGGCCTATGTGTTGTTATTCCAACCCTTTAATTTATTTCTCCAATGTTCACTTTTTCTTGCATGTTAGAACAAAAGTGAAATGCTAAGAGCAGATATGATTAGTTCTAGTAACAAGCAGCAGCTGCAGTAATTTATTTCACAGATAGAAATCCAGACAGTCTTCAGAGAAGACCTCTGGCTCTGAAGCTGGAGTGTTTTTGCAACATACAATATATTTCACATTTTCACTTTCCTGTGTGGTTAGCAGTGTAATTTGAATCTAAAACTAGCCAAAATGGTTGTTGCCCCATTTTGGGCTTGGTTAGCCTTGTGCTGGTTGCAATTACCTGGTTTTGGGTTATCTCTGCAATCCTGAAACAAGTCAGAAGAGCCATTGCTGCTGCTTCTCACAGATGCATTGTTTTGATCATAAACATTGAGTTGGATCCAGTACCTTTGATATCAAAAGAGGGGCATTTTTTGTTGCTCTTGTTGTTTGAGTTTTTACTTGGCTCTAGATAGTAAAGAGCATGGCTTATGTCTTGGCAATGGGAGCTTTAGAAGTTGGGTAAAATACTGTTAGACCCTTAAGGACATTGTCAGTAATGATTGTGATAACATTTACAGCTTTTTGATACGGAGTTTTTATAAGGAAGTTGTCTTTGGGATTAAATTCCTACAAATGTGAAGAGAAAATTCCCAAGGTTACAGAAGGGATGTTTCTCATTTTAAGTCCTGTAGTAAATATGCTGTTTTTTCCAGATTGAAGATAAATGTCCTATCAGCTTACCTTCTGGAAGCACACCTAGAAAACAGATGAATGCAGCACTGGATGTTGAATTTGATAGTCTGTATATTGGGAAATTTAAGTGGTTATCAACAGGTCCTGCTAGGGTAAGTTGGTCTATTATGGTGATATTTTGAGAATATTTAAAAATGAAAATTCTGGTTAAGCAAAGCTAGTGGTACTTAGTGTGAAAGCACTGAGTTTTGATTACTGTTGGATCAAATTGCTTTGATTAGACGATGGGGTGTGTAGTCCATTACCTTGTATGTTTGGATTGCTGTCAGTAGAAAAGCTAAATGGGATTTTCTGTGGCCCCGGTTTTCAGAGGTAAAGGTTCTGTATAAATGCTGTACTGGAACAGAACTCATATTGAGGAAGCTTTTCGTGAATTCTCACTGGAAGTAGTGGCCATGTTAAAGTGAATGTCACTTGAAATAAACACCAATTACACTTCTCAAAAATAGTACAGATCCTGGAATAAAGTAATCCATCATGATCAGAGTTCACATATATGCTATGCTCTAATCTTGCCTTTTAAGCAGAAAATTGCTTGGTTTGTAGCTTTAAAGAGCATTAAAACAATACTAAAAGCATTGGCACATAGGCAACATGCTGCTCACAGGGTGTAGAAGTATAACAAGGTGTACTTCAAATGGAGTACCAGCTGCAGGAGTTTCAACAGGTCTTTGACCAGGCTCATTCTGTATATTGCAATAGAAAGATGAATGTTTGAACATGTATATCTTTTTTTGCTTACAGTAAGACATTTTGAAATCTTGGGTTGTCATAATAATTTCAGCTTTTCACAAAACAGTAGTTTTGTGCAGCAGCTCTCATGCAGTAATGAAAACATTTAATGGAATTTTCCTAAATATATATATCAAAATCGTTTGAGGGATGAGTTGAAATATTTTTAGAATCAATGCTTTTAGGTGGAAAGTGAAAATTTTCCTTGCAAAAAAACAACTTGATTCTTTGTGCTCACTGTGGTAACGTAAGAGAAACCTCTTCTCTCAGTGTAGAATCATAGACTGGTTTGGGTTGGAAGGGACCTTACATATCACCTCGCTCCAACCCCCCTGCCATGGGCAGGGACACCCTCCACTAGACCAGGCTGCTCAAAGCCCCATCCAACCTGGCCTTGAACACTTCCAGGGAGGGGGCAGCCACAGCTTCTCCAGGCATGTATATGACAGCCTTCTGTCAAAGTAACAATAAAGCAGTCTTTATTTAGCCAAGTTGTCTTAACATAGCAGCAGTGTAAGTGGAAACTTTAAAGACCTTTAATTCAGAGGTTAATGTGAACAGCAAGGTAACACCCCAGTGTTGGACCATTTATATAGTGTCTTTAATTCAAATATTGCAGCTGACAGTCTTTATCATGGGGGGCGTAAGCTCCTTTTGTCCCAAGTGTTCGTCTTTTTTTCTTCTTAAAGGAGCCTATAGGCAGCTCCGCAGCTTTCTGCTTATTTCTCAGTGCTGAGCACCTCTGAAAGGCACTTCGCTGTCATTTAGATTCTGCAATACGTATTTAGGAGCGTTGTTTTAAGTGAAATAGGCAACACTAAGTCTCAAACTAAGCATATTGGACTTGGTAATGTTAGGTTAACAGTTGGACTCGATAATCTTAGTCTTTTCTAATCTAAATGCTTCTATGGTATTATTTTCAGTTTATTTGACTATAAGCAAAGAAAGATGTATAGATAATTAAAAACTGCTACCTTGTTTTAATCAATTTGTAAAAAAGAAAACTAATTTATATTTTTTTAATCTTATTTCAGTTTACAACCAAGTATATTACGATTCCATTTCAGGGTAAGAGAATTGTTTGTCTTTAGCCCTCCCTTAACTATATTTTTAAAGTATTGCGTTAAAATAGTCAGTATATATTTGTTATGAATAATTTATGATCTTACTTGCTTCCACAAAGACATTAATTTTTTTAATTTACATTTTTCAATAAATAAAAGTATCAGTTTCTATAATGTAAACATTAATAACTTGGCAGCTCCTTACACTTTTAAGGTGAACTTGTAGTTTTAATGGCCTTACCTCCCACATTCCTGCATATATTGTGTTGAACTATAGTATATATGACTATGCATGTTTTTGAGGTGAAACGTTAATCTTTTCAGATTAGCATTTTAGACCCTTAGGTTTATTAAAAATGTGTGAGTTGATTAAAGCTAAGAGGAATACAACTGTAGATTTGCATTTAGTCCATTTTCTGAAGGTGACGTGTAGTTTCTGTATCTTGCAGGAGAAGGTTTATGAGCAGTTCTGAATTGGATTGACTAAAAGTAAATAGAAGTTCATGATTTGCAATATTTTTTTCTATATTTGTAGGTATTAATTGTGGTTATTCTGAGCAAAAATACATTTTTTTTCATGAAGAATCCTTCATTTGGATGTTACAAATCCATAATTTTATTTTACATAGTTTGATATAGCTGATTTAAGTATTAAATTCTCAACACATTTTATGTAATGCCAGGAATAAAATCTACAAATACTGTTTTAATACACTCTGATCATACTTATGTCTTAGTATGTAATTACTGCAACGTGTATGACTTTACGGCTGTCCATGACTGTGAAAGATATGGTTATTTTAAATTCTATTTTCTGCAGTGGCTCTTAACAAAAATATTAAGCTGACAGTGGATACTTTGGATTTGAGACGGTTTGGCTTGTGGAGAAGTGATGGTGGCTGTTCTTCAACGACTATCATTTTCCTTTGGTTGTCTGTGGATTATGTAGAAAAGATTGAAACCCAATTAGGAAAGTCAATTATCAACAAACCATGTGAGTAATAACTTTCTTTAAATGCAGTGAAAAGGTCTAATATACAGCATGTCAATAAAGTGGTTGTTTTTAAATGTGTGTAAAGACTTGTTGAAACACATCAGTGGTGGTTTTACAAATTGTGGAAATGATTACTACAATTCTGCTTCGCCATCTTAGTGTGTTAATGTTAGAGGAAAATATATTGTGCCGGATCTCACAGCCTGAGAGGGGTGCGGCTGCTGCAGCTGCATGTCCCCAGGTCCAACCAGTAACAAGGCTGAAGATTTAGTCCCAATAGGTAGAGCATACACAGAGCAGCACACATATACATAGCTGGCCACGCGGGTAACGCAGTCACACAGCACTCATACGAACACAGACAGCACTAACAGCCTCATCCTGCTCCCGTCTCTGAGCAGGATGGAGGCCCACTAGTAAGAAAATACATACATATAAATACACACACACACACACATGTAAAATGTAGATCCCTCTGTCAGCTGGGCTCAGACACTCAGTCTGGTCAGTTACGGGTCTGGATCCCAGTACACCCAGTTGCTGGGCGCTGGACATACACACCACTGAGGCCACAAGCAGTTCACTGGTGCAGACTGTCATGCACACACAGGCATGCAGCTGGCCAGGACTCCTCTGGTCCCAGTAGCTGGCACCCCTTCGCTCTGATCCTTAGAGATACACAGGCGGTCTGACAGCCAGAGCTGTCCCTTAGAGACCTGCTCAGCACACTGGCTCCCAGGGCACTTCACTTATTCACCTAGTTTGGCTTGATCTTCGCTAGCAATCACATGCTTGTTTGCCCCCGTGCACTCATTCCCATTGCTGCCCTCGGAGCCCCAGACACACACATGGAATAGAGTGTCCCTCACCCAGAAGAATGTTAAAAAAGAATTTAAGATGATGACAGGACAGACAGCGCTGATCAATGCACGGGACATTGCCAGACAAGTGTAATGACTAGCACAGTATTTAGATGCAGCTGGTTCTTTCTCTGCCCTTAGCCCTCTGTTTTCACACACTTGTCCCTCCCCAAATCACCTAAACTCCTCACTTTGCCTGCCTTTGGTTCTTCACTTAAACATCCCATAATAAGTCCTGTGCAATCCCCAAATGCTCTTCTGCTGCATCCCCATCATGTGTGCCATACACCTCAGCAGCAACCCCGCTCAGCCCAAAAGGCGCTCTGGCATTGATCATTTTGATGAGCTTCAGGTCTGGACCCTGGAGCTGAAGCTTCCCTGGGATGACCCTGGGAATGGCCCAGACCAGGTGGCCCTTCCTCCAGGCCTTCCCTTCGGGTTCCGAACCCTTTGGGTTCCTGCCTGGCACTGTGCCTCTGTGCTCCTCTGGGCTTGTGGAGGTGGGCCTTTGGTGGGCTGATGGCCACTTTGATGAAGCTGGCAGGGGATTATTTGGGCTCCCCCTCCTGCCATTGTCTCTCTGTGCTCCTTTGTTGGTGGGCAGACAAGTTTTTATCACATAACCTAATAGTTAATACTATCTATTCTCTCCTTTTCCCAGCCAAATTTAGTGAATTTGTATTTCTTGAACTGTCCCAACCACTCACAGAATGGGAGGAAGACAGATTGACTGAATTGATTACAGTTGTGAGCAAGAAGAACAGAGCACCAGATCTCCCTGAGTTTTTGTCTTTGAAGCAAGCCTTACCCTTGTTTAAGGACCTTTCTCCCGAAGAGAGCTCTTTTATGAGTTCAAGTAAGGATCTACTAAAGCAATGTATCCCAAAAGAGAATACCTCAGATGCCCATGAGTCTGCAGTTCAGGTTAGTGAGTAGCTGTTGCTTGATGCATTCATCACCACCTGTTGGCATTCACATATTCTAGTCAATTTTAGATCAGCCAATTGCAGAAAATAAATTATTCCTTAATCCATGGCTCAAAAAAAAAAAAAAAAAAAAAACAATTTGTTATTTCTCTCTCATAGTGGGGCAAGGTTTCTGATAAACTAGATTGTGTCCACGGGGGTATAGTGTATGGACCTCATCAGCAGGTGGCAAATACTCAAGCTTTAGCTTGACTCCTGGTGGCCTGTGCCTGGAATCACAGGTATTTCCTGCCCTTGTGGTGTCTCCAGGGCAGCAAGTTGGAAGTTAATCGATGCGATTTAAAGCAATGAAGCCATTTTTCAGTTGAGCTGGAAGTGAAGGGGTGCAGCAGAGGAGGAGCTGTGTGGCCTGCTCCTTCCAGACACCTCTAGACATTCTTGTGAGGGCTCCACAGTATGAAATGCTAAGTGATTCCTAAGGTTGCTGGGGAGATGGGGCTGTGTAAGTTAATGTGTTAATACACCTCCCTCTGAGGAGTAAATGTTTCAACCTAACCCCACATGATGTTCACTTCAGAAATTGCATACGTTTGTTACCATCAGTAAAAAGCAGAGAAACAACAGATCAATCCGGATATGAAACTGGGAACTTAAAAATTGAGCCAGACAGTTCAAATCTTTATAATTTTAACGCAAATTGTCAAGAGCTAGATTTTAAAATCTTCCAACCCTACACAGCTCCTAGTAAGACAGTCCAATACTTGCCTGCATCCTGGCAGGTCTTGTGTCTGCTCCAAAACCAATTCTGCATCAGTTGCCTGAATAATTCTTAAATGGTTTTAGAGAGAGAGTATGAACAGATGAAGGCCTCTTGTCGTTTTAAAAGGCAGATAACTTTTTTTATTGTCTGAGCAGTGGCACATTTGCCTAAATACTGATGTTTACAATTCTGCTCTTTAGCAAGGTTCCTCTTCAGTGATGCAGGGTACTGCTGTGGGTACCAGGCTTGGGTTTTGTATGTTCTGTTTTACCTATCAAGGTGTGTAATGCTTTTTACTATTATTATTGTTTGGATTTTTTCTGGTAGGAATCAAAACGAAAAGTGGCCAGGCCCAGTTATGCACTTGCAAATAAGCAGAATAGTGGTTGCTATTCTATCTCTCTGTCCTCTGCATTGAATGAAGAATGGAAAGAAGTACGAGAAACTGGAGCAGTTAAGAAGTAAGTTTATTTCATATAAATCAGGAGGTGAAAATAAAACAAATTGAATAAATTACTGGAATAAAAGCATTCTCTGGTTGGTTTGAAAGTGCTGTTTGAAAGATGCTCTAGAAATATAAACTATCACCAAGTATTAATGTAGTTATTCCTGTTTCCATCCTAATAGTTAACAGACAAAATGGATGTGTTACAGGATGAGAGAAAATCTCACAGACATTAGAGAATACCTGAATTCTGACTACAAACTCATACCGTGAATGCATCAATGGGAGGGTAGGGACCTCATGGCCTCTGTGAGTGTCCATCTAAGCCCATATCACACCAAAACTATTGCTAACTTAAGCTGAGTATTTTTTTTTTTTTAATCTAAACAATGTTTTCTTTCACTGTTCTGTCGCAATCTATTTATATCTAGTTTGTCATACAATTTACTAGTTAGTACAGGAGTTTGGTTGACAAAAGACTTTCAAAAATGAGAACACACAAATGTGTAATGCAGCAAGATACTATGAGAGCGCTGACATGTCTCAGCTCTTAAGAACTCTTTCCTTTTGCCATCACTGTTTTTACTGGCAGTGTAGCAGTTGGTTTTGTTTCTGCAACAGCAAAAAGCTCAGTTCATGGTTCCAGTAAAGTAAGGTGGCTGTTAATCTAGAGCTTTTTAAATACTAGTGTTAGAAGTAACTTGGGCAGTTTCAAACCACCTACAGTACATGTGCTGCATGGTGCATAAACCCAAGTTTCCTGCTTGGAAATGTGGGAGAACTTACTGGAGTCTTAATGAACAGAAAATTGCTGCTCATACCATTTGAGAATATGTCCCCTAGTATTTAATCTCATTTTATAAAGCTCTTTGTCAATTACTTGTATCAAAAATAGAAAAACAAGATGAAGATAAAAAATAATCTCCAAAAGTGTTTCCAAAATTTCAGTGTGAAATGGGTGCATATTTCTTTTGTAATACTTAACTGTTGGAGGGAGAGAATGGTGAAGGACTTCTAAGCTAGTCGACAGCTTTGAGAACTACCACTTTTAACAGGTTTTCTAGAAAATCTTCTACATGTGGAATAACCATACTAAGAAGAATGTCATGTAAAACGGTTTGTCACTGTTACAATGTGATTTGTGTTTTCTAGTTTAATTGTTTATCCACCTCCACCTGCAAAAGGAGGACTGGGAGTCACAAGAGAAGACCTAGAGTGCTTAGAATATGGAGAGTTTCTCAATGATGTCATCATTGATTTCTATCTTAAGTAAGTAATCACAGCCTTAATTGTACCCTTCTTTCTGGGACCTGATCTGGACTTGAATATCACTGTAAATGTTGGTCACTAAGTATGATGCAACAATTTTACAAGTAACAGTGTGATGTAAGTTGGACTTTTTAAAAAACTTTTGTGTATTCTCAGCAGTTTCGTTTGTTTTAGTTTCATTCTTCTTGTCCCTCTAAAGGGCTGTGATGTAATCCAGACAGAATAGCTGGGAGAAAAAAAGCCACTTGATAGCCTGACAGAACAGAAAGTGCTGAGCAGTTATAAGTAGGCAGTTGAACAAAGTAGAGGGTCTGTACTAGGTAGTTTATTTACTAAGTTCGCATGAAGTGGAGCATCCTCTGCTATTCTGCGCAAGAGTCCAGGAATTCTTCTGATGCACAGCTCCTGCAGAAAGGAGCACAGTTAATACTTCTTGAGGAAGTAGTGCTTGATTTACCTGCTTCATGCCATCCGGCTAAAGTTGCTTGTGAAAGCAGGTTTTTCAGAACCAGCATTGTGGGCCACCATTCCATAAAACTGAGGTTTATTTTCCCTGTGCTGACTTAAACTTAAGCAGAATTCTGGCTCTTTTGAGGGTTGTCTGCAACAATTCCATTTTGCTTGGCATCCGGCATGGCTGCAGTAACTGTGAGCAATAGGAAGCCAGCTAAATCTTCCTGTCTAGAGGAGTGGGAAAGGAAACATGTACCAGAGTGTTTTGGTGTGGTTTTACAGCAAAGCCACCTGTATTTTGCCCTACACTAGGAATAAATCATGCAGCATGGTCCTCTCAATAGCTGTAGCTTCATCTCACCAGAAAAGGAAGATGTGAGTGAAGGAATTTAATGCAATCATTGCAGAAACCCCTCTGCTTTTAAAATTTGTTAGACTTCCCGCAATCTCAGTTTTCATTGTGTTGCAAACTGTGTCATATATGACTGTGTTGGCCAAGTCATCGGGTGAAGCTGGAGGCACCTTGTGTAGGAGGACTGCAATTACGAGAGCTTTGGCCTTCTAGGATGACAGAATAAACACTCAAGCTGATGTTGATGGTAAAATGATCAACCGTGAAATAATGCAGAATGAGTTCCTGTAGAATATTTATCTTAACTTTCACATGCATAACCTGTGGAGGTAAAATGGACAATTTACAGTGCTGAACTGTTCTATGCCTTTTCTATACGCAGGAGTATAACACTCTGTAGGCTTATACTTGGTTAGGTTTTCAAGCCTGTCTTAATTGCAAGAGCTAGAAATCTAACTCTAAAAATAAATTCAGAAGCATTAATACTGGAGCACAGATCTGAGATAAAAAATAACTGCATTCTTAGTTGTTGCTTGGCTGTTACGTACTCTATCTATAATGTCCACCCATGTACATATTGAAAATAGAGAGAAAAATTTGGCGTGATTAGCAGCTGTGAAGGCAACTGATACTAAGCATAACCTGAGTATGATGTCATTAAAATAATTGTCATGCTTTTTTACCAGTAATGGTACTTTCTTGAAAAGGCATTTAATAAATTCCTTCTTTTTTCTTTGGTAGATACCTGTTGTTGGAGAAGGCACCAAAACAGCTTGCTGACCGTACACACATTTTTAGCAGTTTCTTCTATAAGTGCCTGACCAGGACAGAAAAAAACTCCGAGGGGGATCTCAAAGTTTCGTAAGTTCATTTTAGATGCCATTCTAACCAGAAATAAGCTGTCTGTTCATTCCACTTGGAAGTTCTGCAGATCATCTCCTAATTAGCACATAAAATAGTAATCAGTATTCTGCAAAGGATTAGTGGTGTTAAGTGTTGTAACTCACAATTTAAACATGCTGGTGTTTTTAATTAAAATCTACATGTGGTTCATACTGAATACAAATGAAAATGTTACCACCTTTCTCCAGCTTTATCTGAATCTTTACTTCAGACAATTATTTATGCATTTAGATGTTTTGATTATAAACTCAGGAGTTTTGCAAGATATGCATAATTTTAAGAAATTGCACTTCTAAAAATACTTTTAGATTTACCACATATTTCATTTTACATATGGGTAATAAATTATTGTCCAAATTTTTGGTAAGAAAATTTTCTTATGCACCAAGTTTGCACATTTGTTTTTTAACACTTAAGCACACTGGAATTAGAGGGTTTCACAAGAAGCTATTATTAAGAGCTCAAGAACCCTGTATTACTTTGTGTTTCTAGCTAAGGCTGTACAAAGGGTAGGACCATCCTTAGTACACTTTCCATTCCCTCTTAACACTGATGTTTGAGAGTGGATCTTTCCCTGCCACTTCACTGACAGTGATGATCTGCCAGCAACTTTCATTCTGTTTTCATTATTCAGCTTATCAAAGTTTTTTTTTTCTGTTTTCTGAAGTGACATTTCTTCTGTTACCCAGGTTTTTCATTCATTCTACTGGCAAACGAGGCCGCCTGCACAAAGAGGTGTGCCATCTTGTTATGTTACAGTCACTGCTGGGTGAAATCTGTGTTACAGGGAAAATATTTTTAAAGATGTCTCAAAAATTCAAGGAGCTGTGCTTGAGAAAATGTCCTCCATCATTTTACTGTCTTCTGACCCTGAATGTTCTGAGGCGGAGACAAAATTATCCATGTTAAGAATGCGGTTGTGCATTGATGTGATATCTTTTACAAGACTGGACTGTCCATAACCTTCTTGAGGAACTAGAATGGCACCCTTAATTCACCATATTTCAAGGACAGTAGCTGCTCTGGATCAGGAGATAGCTTTGGAAATTCTGGTTTTGTGTTTGGGCTTAGATACGTACCTAGTGATTACAGGTATTTTGGGATTTGTTTGCTTGTTTCTGTGGGGTTTTTTCAGATAAATGTGTAGTGGAAACTTGGGCTCTGTACTGTTGTAAATGAAACTAATCTTAAGTGATGTAGCTACTTAACTTAAAGACCTTTTGCTTCTCTTTCTTCACACTGCTTAGGCAGTAGAATGAGAAAGCTCCTTTTATAGGTGCTTTTCCCAGGTTGCAAATACGCCTTCCCCTTTTAAGTTCCCAGTGCTTCTATAGTTATGCAGCAGAGGAAGTTTGCAGCAAGTCGTCACTTAATGCTGCCCTGCAGAGAGTCCCACGTGTCATGGTTTAGCCCCAGCTGGCCACAAAGAACCACACAGCCGGTCGTTTGCTCCTCCCCAGTGGTGGGATGCAGAGGAGAATCTTCAGAAAAAGGCAGAACTCGTGCGCTGAGATAAAGATGGTTTAACAGAACAGCAGAGGAGGAGAAAAATAACAACAATAATACCGATAAAAAGAATGTACAGAGCGAATGATGCACAGTGCAGTTTTGTTCACCGCCCTATACCAGCCCACTCTGGAGCTTGTTAGTTGCTTGGGCTTAATGGTGTGCTGATTTTTTTTTTTCTCTGTCAGGGAAATTTCAAAAGTAAATGAAAAACCCATTGAAGGTTTGTGAAGATGTAGGAGTACTAATCCCTGTACCTTGCTTTAACTAGAAAGAACAAATCCGAACAATAATCATTATTTGGTTTCTGCAGAGCAGCACAGAGAAGACACAGAAGAGTAAGAACATGGACTCGTCATATAAACATCTTCAGTAAAGATTATATCTTTGTGCCTGTGAATGAGGAGTAAGTCTACGTGTTTCAGACACCTTTTCTGACACTTAGATTTAAGTATTTGAATGTTGTGATAAAAAGATTTATGGCTGTAAGCTTGGGTCATTGGAAATGAACACATTAGATTTTGAAGAAATAGCAGGTGTGGAATGAATAATTTTGAATTATCTCAAAAGTTAAACTTTTTGTTTAGTTATCTTCAGTAGACTTTGCATCTTCGTTTTTTGTTTTACTGAAAACTGCTTTTATGTGTTTTTCAAAATAATTTGTGTGTCATTATGATGATTTCTGTGCCCTTAAGTAATATTTCTATAAAGAAATCACAGCAACTCATAGTGTTAGTGGATCAGGAGTCTTCCATGGTCTGTGCCTTGGCCTGGTTGAAGAACTGACCTGCGCATGAAAACTCCAGTAAAACTGAATAGTCATTTGAGAGTTACATATGCAAAACAGCTGCAGAACGAGATAAGGCTAGAGGCATGCCATACGCTCAGCCATATTCCAAACTGGGATCACCATCACAGATTATTTGATTAATTTTTTTACAGTGTAGGATGGATGGTGAGGTGCTGATAAATGGCTGTGGTGCGTTTGTTGGAGGCTTTTAAAGGAATCCATTTTTATTTTTGCTGTTATGCCACAATGCAAAGTAAAAAATGAGTGAGAGTATTAATATGAGATGCCATGAAGGAACACAGCAACAACGGTTATGTGTCACAGAACAGTTGTCCGTAAGCTCATGATGTTACAAAAGCTTTTCATATCCTTTTCAGAACCAAATGTTACACAGTTTTCATGTTTTTTTTCCCCTTCCTCTCCCCACTGCTGGGCAGGTCTCATTGGTACATTGCGGTTATCTGTTTTCCTTGGTTGGAAGAAGCTGTGTATGAGGAGTGTCCCCATCAGAATTCATTATATCACCAGTCTCAACAGTCTCCACTTCAGTCAGGGAGTGAGAACACTACAACTGGTTCAGTGTTGGCCTTTTTTGGTAACTGCAAGGATGAAGAAGAAATGGATGCCAGCAGAAGTTTGTTCTCAAAAGGTAGGTAATCTAGAAGAAAATTATGTCAAGCCATGTACAGTTCTAATTGTGTCTTAATTGTTGAAGGAGAGATATGATGTCTTAAAAAGTATCTTTCACATCAAGATTGATGTAGTATGTTTTTGTATTAACATGCATAGCAAAGACTGCACTGCATTCTTGTCCACAACTCTCAAAAATGCTGGAAGGGACATGTAAATTCAGGAGCTCAGATCCCATCATGAGTGGAAAGTTCTTAGATGCCAGTAAGAACTTCATCAGGAAGGAAGGCCCTCAGTAACTCTGCTGTTTGAAAATTCAGAAAGGCAGCAAAATTAGTTTAGACTTCACAATTGTCGTTTGAATGCTGTAATAATGAATTTGAAAATTAAAATATTTCAGTTAGGAAATGTTTTATTGAGTCTTTTTAATTTGCTCTTTTATACTAGGTGGCAATGAAATTGCTGCTTCTGCTTCAGTCCTGAATTCAGGTATTTCTAAAGTAAGTGCCTTTTTGTACTGGCAGAGGAAACATGTATTAGCTATTTCTGAAGGCTCTGAGACTTGACCAACTGATTTTGCATCATCTTTTTGGCAGCAGCTGTCAATGTTTTTGTGGCCTGCAGCATGTGCAAGGCACTTGAATTAGCCTAAAGTCCTCCTATGTTGCGTATGCTATACTTTCATGTGTTTTTAAAAATTATTTATCAGTTTCTCGCTTTCTGAAATGGGAGCCTTTCTGGCTTTACCTTTAAATCTATGAGAGTTTATAATTGTTGTAGTTTTTTTTTAAGGTTATTTTTATTTTCTCTTCTCGCAGATCTCCTTAAGTAATTCCAAAAGGCAAATTTGTAAAAGGTACGTTTCTTTTTTCATACTAATATTGTGTCATTAAATTATATTAAGAAATTCTGCAGTCATTCAGTTATTTGTCATAAAGCCACAGCTATAGGAACTTGTCTGTTTTTTTCCATGTTTATTCAGACATTGATGCTCTTGATAAGCTGTATTCAAACAAAATATTTGCTTCACTAGTGTTGATAGTGAAAGACTATAACGATTTTGTTTCGTTATTTGTTTTTGTTGTGTACAGGCCTTGTATACTCATCTTAGATTCTTTGAAAGCTGGTTCCGTGCAGAAAACAGTTCAGGTTCTGAGAGAGTAAGTAACTACAATTTCTGTTTATTAGAAAGAGATGCTGCTGGTCATATTTCTATGTTCAAAATACTTTTCTCTATAAAGGTGTATATTTCTAATGCTAAAGGAAAATCCATAAAGAGCCACAACAAAGAAAATTATAGTGGCAATACAGAGGCTTGTGTGAAAAGCCTGACTTTGTTCTGCAGCCCAGACATAATGTAAAATTGTAAAGTGGATAGTCTTTTTGAAATTGAAAAAAAAAATTTTTTTTAAAAATTAAGAGGGAATTTGCTTTGCTTTTTTTTTTTTTAAATCATCTCCATTTCACTAACGGAGCATGTTTTTAAGGGTAGAAACACAGATACTTTAAAATGAATACTTCAGAATTTCAATGATTAATTTTCCAAAGGGCTGATTTTTTTTTTTTTTTTGGGGGGGCTTTTGAATTACAGTGTGAAGTCCACTCCTGTCTATGTGCAAAAAAGTAGAAACTAGACTGAAGCTGTCTAAAAGCTTGATGTGTCAGTATAGTTATATAGGAATGGTATTACTTGTTTTGAAAAGTGAGACTAACAATATATTCAGTCTTTTATGTGATAGGTATGTAAGTATTGGAAGAATGTATTCAAACTTTCAGTACTTTTACACACTGCTAATGACTAACACCTATCAACAACTTTTTTAGAAGTTGCTGATATTAAATATTTGAAGCTAAACAGAATTGTTCTTTTTGTTCTCTGTTGTATTCACTTCATTGAAAGGAAGAAAAATTTGTAAACCAAATAGTACATCCTTCTTGTAAAAGTAAATTATTCAAAATACTATGTGAGTGTTAGATAAGAATCAGAAATTTTTGTGAAACCATGTTTTCCCTGGATA